ATTACATTGCCAGAAAATCCGCAGTGAAATTGGAAAAATGAACTTCAATTGCAAGATGTTATTTTTCTATATTAGTAAACCGCACTGTAAAGGTATTTTTGCAAACTGAACTTAGTACTAGAATTAAAAATTTCTTGAGCTATCGATTTCTTACAGAAACACAAATAAAATGAGAACAATGTTCAATAACAACAGGGAATCCATTTTTTTATAGTGACGACTCGGTATTTATTGTCAGGAAATACGGGATTCCACAGAAAGCATTGGCAACGATTTTACCAAAATTCTCTCGTTCTCGTCAATAGAGAACTCTCCATGGTGTTAATCCATCATTTAATAAAGACAGTACTTCCTCAAGATATTTATTAAGTTGGGAAGAAAGTTATGGGACACTCGTAAAAACTTAAAAATATATGCATTTTACCAATGATGAACTATTATTTTAGAAGAAAGGCCATCGATCCGCTAAGTTTTGAATCTGGTCGAAGTACCATTCCCTTAACTTCAGATCAGAGAGCTGTTGACATCTTCTACATCTTCATCAAACGATCCAAATCGGCAACCCTTCATAAAGTTTTGCACTGATCAGAAAAAGCCAAAGTCGAATGCAGCGCAATCTGAACTGTAGGCGCGAAGCGGCAGAACTTCGACTCTGTCCAATTCATCAAACTTGTCTTTAATATTTTTGCTAGTGTACGGTCTGACATAGTCTTACAGCACCGAAAAGCGCTTTCGGTTGACGAAAGCCACGGCCAGGTCTGAAACTTGGCGGGCCGATAGGAGAAAGTCGTAGAAAAGGACGGCCTTGATTTTGAAGAGTAGTTATTATTGTTTTTGTTTGGAGTTCATGCATAATTTTTACAAGTGCCTCAGAACTTTTTCACCCATATTAATAATTGGGCAACATGGGCGCACATCAATCTTCGCAGCCGTCTGAACGGAGCGAACAGCTTGAGAGGACGAAAGGTCCCTCACCGTCCGCAAAGGGTTATCGTGATACAAAGCTTAATGTGTAAAATCTCCAATTCAAGGAGTTGGAATTCTGATGATCAAAAAGAAGTCCTTTTCATTTAGCCGCTTCTAGTGGTAGTACGATGCTATAATTATACTCATTGATTTAAAGTAATGTGTAAAGTCTCGCGTCAGTTGTGATTTCAACTCATATTTCATCTTATCCGGGACTGCTTGTTCGCACCGTTGCACTACCGACGCGTGTTTTGGCACCACTATTTCTAAGCTGCAACGCATCTATCTGTGAACAACCAAGCGTCAACGATATGGTACGGCTAGTGGCTAATGACATTGAGCCCTATCGAGCTGACGGATAGTGGCTATTAGACGATCAAAACAGAAGTAAGATACAATAAAAAATTATAATAAGTGAATTAAAGAATAATCAAACAAATATATGAAGGAATCCTGTCTGATCATCTAATACCCAATATCTGTTAGCGTGACTCAATGTCATTAGCCACTAGCCGTGCCATACCGATGACGGTTGGTTACTGATAGATAGATGTGTTGCAGCGTAGAAAGAGTGGTATCAAAACAGGCGTCGGTAGTGCAACGGTTCAAGTGCATGCTCGCGGATGGGGTGAAATATGGGTTCGAGTCCCAACTCACGCAAAAGTTCAACACATCACTTTACATCAGTGAGTAGGAATTTTATTCTCAACAAAGAATGATTGTATAACAATCATTCCCGACTTTTGAGAGAAAAATACGAACATACCCATACTCATTCCTTTCAGACTTCCATTTTGAACTCTTATAAGAATACCCATTTCAAGGGGGTTGTGAACGACAGATTTGGATTAGTACAGCTCTGACGAAGGGAAAGTAGTCAAAACACTTATCGGTTAGAATATTCCGTAATAGCTTGAACAAGGTGAACAAGCTGAAAAAATTTAAACAGTGTAATCATTCCGCAGTTTAACAATTTTTCAACATCGGCAATTTCCATTTTATGTCCTTTCTATGAACATTTCATCACTAAGTTTTCCACTTGCGTAAATAATCAAAGAATAGGACCTAATTGTTGTGCACTTGCTCTTAAAGGGCAAAAATGACAAAAATTTGAGCTGTAATCAGTCTCTGATAATATTGTGGGAGGGGGCCTGGCCAGGTGGATATTGATGCAAGTATGCTGGGTATGGTTTTGATTCGACGTCCTCGCTCTAAACTCTCTCGCAATCAGTCTATGTGCCATACGGAACGCCTGTGTTTGGCAACCTTCGACATCGAAAGAAGATTTGCCCGATCAACATTTTAGTCAATCATGAACGAGAAATTCTCAAGAAACACTCGAAACAGTAGGCGAAATGTTCGATGATCTTTGCGGAGGACGTTTAGCACGAAACGAATGTAGTGCTAGAAGTGCTGAGATCCGCAGAATAAAATGTGATGACGGGTCGTGCAAATAATAAATAAATAATAACCTAGAATTATTCACACACTGGTCTTCATTCATAGTATTTATATAAACATGCTTGAATGCATATACAGCCTATGAAAACACTTTCGAATATTTGTTATAGCGAAAAATCAAGTTTTCTTGAGAAATTCTTGTGCTCTAGCACCGAATTCCAAACCTTAGAAAAATAAATAATTTCGGCTGTCTGGAGACAAAATATTAGAAAAAGACTTTCTGTAGGAAACCTTGAATTGCTTCATTAAGTGGGCTCTCATGGTGATAGAGTATTCAGAATGAATTGAAAGACGTCAAATACGACACATCAATTCTCAATTTTGAATTCCGCATATACATGGCCTCATTCCCATCTTTTAATATGCTCGATCAATGTTCGGCCAATTATTTTTTCATAACGACATCGACCATTTCAGAAATGAAGGGAAAAGAGAAAATTCATGTCACGTTGTCGTTGCTGAGATTACGATCTTATTATGAACGGATGTCAAGGAATTCATACAGAACAGTTGCATGCATAAAATCAATCATTAGCTATGACCTTCGCATCGTCCTCACATTGCGAAGTCGACTCGTCACATTCTGACTAAAAATGGACTTAACCACGATGCCGAACCACATCCGTCGTATAGCCCTGACTTTGCTCCATCAGATTATCCTCGTTTCCGCGTCCCGAAGCAGCATCTGCGGGAGAAAAAATTCAAAGGCTGCAACCAGCTCAAAATTGATCTAACCGACTTCTGTGATCGACAGCTTCATTCTTTCTGAGAGATAAGCATTCAAGTTTCACCTAACAAATGGTTGCGTATCACCGATCATGATGGTGACTAAATTGTCAAATAACTGATTCTCCCAAATGAATATCAAATGAATTAACAAGCTTAACGTTTTTATTTGTTGAAGCTTACAAGAGCGTCCGTCACTTACCGCAACGGTACGGTACCGTTACTATAAACGCTGCGCCGTGACATGGTCATTGCAATGGTCATGAGACGGAAGCGCAACGTCAAATCATGGAGATGCACCATCGTGGTTGGAGAGAGTAATTGTGCTGTACGAAACCATCGCTACGATCTCTCAGTATCACCCATCGTCACTAATAACAGCCATGATAAGCTCTCACTACGGTTCCTTGAACGGCACTCGAAAAATGGGTGGACGTGGTTGTGGCTAACGTCAGCGTCTCCATCCACCACAGATGGCAACGAGTGGCATGGATGGCAATCACGAAACGAGCCTCGCGTACATCGCCATGTTCAAAATAGGCCACTACTATGGGACGACAATTGTGCGAGAGAGAAGCGATTGGAACCTTACTGAGGATACGAATCGCACTACTAGTGAAGACGGGCCGTCCAGGTATCGAGGTATTGCAGATTCTTGTCCACGGTATTATGAGAATGATACCGTCTTTTCTCACTGATCATCCTTAGGTTAGTCATGTATTTTGTCTACAATCAGCGTCTTTGTTCCACAATCAAGTTCAAGCATCTACCATGCACAGCTTGTAGAGCGTGTGCAATATACGGAACAAGACTTTACTCTCGTATTACTTGACTTTAAAAGTGTGAAATGATTATATCATTGATCAGTTAACGTTCATTCATTAACAGCAGCGCATAAAGGTGAACTGTTGTTGACATGCAAAATGAAAGACTATATGGTTAAAATATAAACAAACATAAATGAGATACGAGAGAAATAAGACCACTTTTGAAGGTGAAACTCCGAAGGTAGTGAATGCCAGGTGTGCGAATAGTGAGCAGTGTGAATGATCTTAGGGATATATGCACTATCTGATTTCACATCCTGCTGATGATCGAGACCTTTTATTCAAAACATTTACTTAGGCATACTTATCATAATTTTTACGTCCTAGCAGCTTTACCATAGCCTGCGAAAAGTTGGTCGAAGAATTCTGCATGCACCTGCCTGCGTATACCAATATTTTGCAGTGTATAATGGAGTATAATTAGTTTTGAATAGTTCGCAGCAGGGAGTGGCTCCTCAGACGTGAGAATTACCTCTTCTGATACTTGCCCTTCACTGTTGGAACGATAGAATTATGAGCGGCAGCACTTTCCTTAAGCACTCGCCGACTATTTCTCGTCTTTCGGGCATTATTATCGTCAAACAATTTCCTGTTTATTTGACCGCCTGTAGCAGTGGTGTGATGCTATGGATATGCCCACCGATGTGCAAAACTTTTGTGTCAGTTGGATTCAAATTGAAATTTTACCTTATTCGGGGCACGTGCTCAAAACGTTGCACTACTGATGCTCGTTTCGACACCACTCTTTCCAGGCTACAACGCATCTATCTGTCAGCAACCAACCGTCATTCGAGTATGAGCTCCCGGATACGGTGAAATGGGGTTTGAGTCCCACCTGAGGCAACAGTTTTGCACATCACTCTACATCAATGGGTATATTTATAACATAATAAAACCATTAGAAGCGGCTAAATTTAATAGAATTCTGTTTGAACGTCGATAGTGACTATTCGTACAATACAGACGATTGGTTGCTGGCATACAGATGCGTTATGGCGTAGAAAGGGTGGTGCAAAAACGGCGTGGGTAGTGCAGCGGTTCGAGCACGCACACGCAGGTTAACCATGGGTTCGAGTTCCATCTGACGCAGAGGATTTGCACATCACTTACATCAATGGGTATATATCGTCATCGCTCGAGTCACTACCCAAAAGCCAGTACCTGCGACAAGCGTATTGTTTTCCGATGCGTTATCAGCTTCGTTACCGACCTCTCCTTTGTCACCTGTTGCCAACAAATGATCGAGCAAAGTAGTCTTGTCTTCATCTGTGGGTATGGTAGAACCACTGATCAAAATACTTACTTAGGCATAACTTCTTCACGGGTTCTCAGATTGGCAGATTTCCAATAGTCTGAAAGGAACTGACCATTTGAATCATGTGAAAAATTCTGTAAATAAAAAACAAATTAATAGCGTTTTCAACGCACTTCAAAAAAAAAACTGCCTATCTCTATTTCTGCTATTATTACAGTGAAAAAACGGCGGAGTCATATTTGAACACCTAATAGTACGAAACAATGTCCACCTCGTTCCCACACGGCATAAAACACGTTGTCCTTGTGAACTAGAAAACCGTGGATTATCTCTGGGAAGATAATAGGTTGAGGAAAATGGGGAAAAAGTTCTGAGAGAATGCTTTTAACTTTTTGGGTGTCGGCCTTTTTTATGTTTTTGGGCTTACTTGAAAGCCCGGCTTCTCCCGCGTTGATTGGTATATAATTTGTCTACTTATTTCAAGATGGAGTTGACAAGCGAGCAAATTAGGTTATTGATGATGCACGAATGGCTGTTGGGTTTAAATGCGACGGTGGCAAGTGACGCATCAATCAACCAATCAGTTTTATGCTCGTGGGATCGATCTTTTGTCGAAGAAGTGGCAGAAAGTGCTTGAAGCTGTAGAGGAGTACTTCGACTATTAGTTTTGTCTTTATTCGGGTGTAATAGGTGCATAAATAAATGTTTTACAAGCATTTTCTCAGGACTTTTTCCTCAACCTATCAACTTAATGACTTGATACATTGCTGGAGCATTCACAAGTCAGACTAAAGCTCAGTTCTGAGTGCAATCCTCCTATCAGTACGAATGTAGTCGAGTGTATATCGCATTCTCAAGGGATTTATCAAAGCCTTCTTCTTTTCTTAATTATGTTCATCATAAAAAAGGGATGTATGTCACGCCTATGCGGCTTACTTTCCTGTACGTTGCCTCTATCTAAGACATGCAGTAGCAGCCAAATAACTACTTGAAAGAATATTCAAGGTGGTTTTTAGTCGTCCCTAGCAATATTCACATCTGCTCTGGGTTGTATAAGCTGTTCGTAAATATAAGATTCTTTACGCGGTTTAGTACAGATCCTTCATCATCAGGTGAAGTTATAGACACCACGCAAAAGTGTGATGGTCTGTCCGTGTAGAGGTTAATATCTCGTTTTTCGTAACATATCAACACTTTCGCTACAAAGCTTAATCTCCGGTTTGTTGCGTACTGGACGACTCCTAGTTGTTCGTTGTTCCCGCTGTGGCACTCGGGGATTTACACCGTCTACTGTGCAAAGTTATCAGTGCCCACTTCATTGTTATGTCCTTTCGATAAATCGATCTTATTCAAATTGTGAGAAAAAAATCTTGCTCTTATCGTATACATATTCCTCTTGTAGGATGCTCTTGTATACACACTACCGCGTCATTCCCGCTATGCAATCGCATGCTGTCGGTATTTAAGAGGACTGATTCTTTCGAGCAGTCAAAATTACAATGTTAGTGTGTGCTCTCGATATTCCCCCATTCCAAACTATACTCAGATATCATGATTGTGACTGAAAATCAGAAACCAACGAAGTGCTTGTCAATAATGATGCTGTACAGTATATGCATCGTATGGTCATGGAAGCAGGAGCATTCCTACCCCTCTCCATTGACCATTGCCTAGGCGGCACACTCACCTCACGAGCCATATTCCCTGGCCAAAAATATGAAATTAGCTGGAAAATTACTGATAAGGCACACTCTCATGGACGACGCCTACCACAGCATTTGTGTTGGACAAGCTACCGATTGATTGCATGGAATATGACACCCATAGGGCTATTTTGGTCAATTCCGCAAATTTATTAAAACACCTATAGGCTTCGCGAAAGTCCACATTTCGTTACCAACTGAGCAGCGGTTTTGACATCATGGCAAACCTTGGTTCTAAGCTATTTATTAATTTCACTTATATGACCGGTCATCACATATTGTACATATTCAAACACTTCCTTGACATAGTTGGTTACTTTGCTTGGTTCCCTTGAAATCTCTGGATGCACTGGTTTCACCTTCATCACCGAAAGCTTTTCATAGATATTTGTGAGGTCTATGGTACTGACATTGAAGAGATATAATTCGATTTCTGGACGATAACCCAAAATTATTGTCGAGTATTCACACGTTAGGTCGATTTCCATGAATTTCCGCCATTCGAGCTTTCTCTAGCAATGGCGGACAGTTGTCCGGATTCATGTCGTCACTGGATAGGGCGCCTACGACTCAATCGTTTATCAAGACACATTTTATTTCCATGGATAGGTTGTCAAACAAACTGTCTACCAGTAACTGTGGATCGATTTTGTGATCTCATGCTTTGATGTATTTCGAGCTGCTATGGATTCTGTGCGTTCAAGTTTGAACTCATCATGCAAAACAGTACGAATTTGTTTTGACAGCATTAATTTAACCAGCTTATAGATAGTACAAATTGCCAAAAAAAAGTGTTACGAGGCAAACAATTTGGCATGAAATAAGCTTCAAAATAGTGAACATTAACAAAAATAAGTAACAAACACCTGCTATGGATCTTATTACAAAAATCACAAAAGGTGTAGTCTTCCATTTAATTTGCACCAATCCAATAAACTATATACATCTAAAAAAAAACTAGACAAAAATAATTATGCAACAAACAGGCTCTTGTCGAAAAATGTAAGGTGCATATGCAAGGACAGAGGCGAAAACTTTTGTTCTTGTATCAAACAAATACGACTGAATGGAGTACGAACAGAAAGCTTGTCGTTAAAAAACACAAGTATTTAAAACATGAAAAATATTCGCCTGTGCGGAAGATTTTCGAAAAAAGCCTGTTAAATAAAACAATGGTACAGGAACAAGCGGCAATGAGATATTCAAGGAAACACGTTTAGGTACAGATAAAAGAGAATTCCGCGACTTAGCCTGGTCCATCCTTATATTCGCCCAAGGCATTCCTCGCGCGGAAAAAACCGAGACCTCTTCACATCTTGTTCTTCTTTTTTCGAGCTTCCTTACACTGATCACAGTACCATTTGCCTGCAGCAGTCGAAGCATTAACGTTTACCGATCATTTGCATAGATTAAACCTTTGCGGATGGTGAGAGTCATTTTGATTCTCAAGTACTCGGAGGTTTTCTTCGCTGGGCAAAGATTCTTATTCCAGAATTTCAGTAGTAATTCGAAGTTTCAATACAGGCGATTTCAACAATACGCATAGTTTTTGAAAAGGCCTTCCTATTGCGCTGTAACGCGAAAGTTATCTTATGCTCCATACTCAGAAAGCTTTGCTTCCTGGCTAGGGTCTGTGGATAGCATTTTATCAAACTACGCGGATACTCATTCAGTAGCACAGTCTCGGCGATTCCGAAATCAAGTCTAGTTTTTCAAAAGGTTTTCACATTTCGCTATAGAAACGAAAAGAAGACTGCGACTCACTCGGTGTTTTTTTTTCGCACATATGAGTTATACATGCAGAAGAAATAAATTAATGCGTAGGGAAAACTATGTAGTGCCACAGTATTATAGAAAACCTGAAGTTTGTTTTTCGAAATAACGAAAAAAAACCCTTATTGAATAATGAAAGGATGCGCGACGCTTGCGAAACCCGACCAGCTGCCGTCCACATAGAGCTAATACAGAAGAAATGATTGAAAAAAAGAGGGGAAGGAAAAACGATAGCGATACAAACATGACAGACGATGAGTGTAAAATTGAAGAACGTACCAACTGGAGAAGAAGTCAAACCAACACACTGGAAGTGGAACCACTCATTCTTGCAGTCGGGACCATCACAGGCTACCATTTGACCAAATGAAACCTTGAACATTTCACAATATTTTCCATTCAATTCAGCAGAAATCATGCAAAATAGTAGAAAAAAGGCAAGTTTAACATGAGTAAAGTCGGGAAATACTAAGCAAACTAGTGGAGTGAGCCTTGTAGTCGCACCATTGCGATTTCCATGAAGCGAAAGTTTCAAAAGACAGTGAAAAGACAAAAAAAAAAGCGATGACTCTATGGAACTTTTTCAGTTGACAGATATTCAAGAATTTCAATCCGCGCATGGATATTTGAAATAAAACCGACCTGATGGCAAAAGCAATAAGTAGGCTCGTTGGGATCGACGGGCATTTCTACTGGCGTTATGGCCGATTGTTTGTACGGATCCATGAAAGAAGCTGAAACAAAAACGGAGATACATTGAATAAGACTTAAGGAACTGAGACAAAGAGGATCTCTCACAATTCTCAGTCTGACGACTAGTTCTCGCATCCACTGGCTTTTTCTTCTTTTCCGTTCTCACACTCGAAACACTGGATTTTCTCTTTTGAGCTTCCGACGATGAACCTGATTCGTATGAAAAATACGAAATTGGCTGTAATAATGGACAATATGAAACATTGCTTTCCAGAGTTTCAAATTTCAAACGTCCTTCAAGCGAATCCCGACTTTCTTTATTATTATACGCCTAAGAGCGCGTGTGGAGGAATGGTTTGACTTGCTCTGCGACACACAAGATCAATTAGTCAATGGTCGATGGTTCGATCCCACGCTCAAGGTTCACCAAGCCTTTCATCTTTCCGGCATCGGTGAATCGATAGCACACTTGTCTAGGAGGATAACGCCACTAACTAAATACATCGTTAAACCAACGGGAGCCATGGTTAAGGCCTGATATGCATTCGATCACCTCAAACGTTGCTAGATGAAGACGAATGCATGGCAAACCCTTCAGGAAGTGTTCAATGCCAAGAGCTTTGGAGCTTTTATACGTATCAATTATAGCTCGTAATCTTTGCGGT